AAGCAACAAAGTCTAAGCGGTAGAAGTTATAGCACTATTTCGGAGATTAGTTTGTGAAAATGACGGCATATATTTATACTCAATCGTTTTGTTTTGAAAATCTTCAAGCAGATTTTATTTATATTTGCTAAGTAAACCCACAACTGGTTAAATTTTAGCCACATTTTAACTAATTACTAAACTTTAGTAATCGTTTGTAATACTAACATGTGGTAATCATGCGCTCACTCACAAAGCGTTGCATAATTCTTGGCGAACTAATCGATAACAGACAAAGCGCAGACTTGCCGTTGGCGCTGCCATATGGCGATATTTTCGATCGTACTGTACCGCAAAGTTTTTACAGTGATGCCTTACAGCGCTTCTGAAACTAAAAACAAATTTACAATAGGGTGGTTCAAAAGCAGTAAAGTCGGGAAATGTAATGCTCTCACCCCTTAGGATTGTTTTATATCGAAAAAAAGTATACCCCTATTTTTTTTTATTTCGAAATCAAAAAATATTTAGTGGTCGCTCAAAGCGCTCAAAGTTTTCCATGCATTAATATAGAAAATATGGCTACAGGATATCATCTCATGTCATCCGAACACTACCTGCACGTAGAAAGTCAGGTGCTGGCGGTGAAAGAGCACAACGATTTTACATCGAAGCAGTTGCACGTTGCATGCCACCGTGGGAGCCATCCTAACAACGCTCTACTTCGAAAAATTCGCACCCCGATACGTGAGGAGGAACCTGCTGCACGAACGAATAAAGAACCGAGCGTAGACCTCCCCCGTTGAATGAGGTGGTGCACAAAGAAACCTCCATGCCAGCAGGTCGATTGTCACCCACCAGCAATAAGGAAACAGAGCTGCCAAGAGATACCCTGTGCTATCTAACACAGCGCCGTTTCTGTTGGTGACACAGGCTCAACATCTAATTTTCTCAGCTGAGACCAGAAGTGGCAAACGGCAGAAGTGCCCAGTGGACATACTTATAAGAGTTGGATTTGGTAGCTGCATTATTGGTTTGATACTTCTGACTCTAGCATAATTCACAAGGACTAAACCAGATATTCGGTAACTTTTGTGGCAAAATCCTCTTCAGTCGCGACTAGTCGTGAAGTGAATAGAGCGACGCAGCTTTATTCATTTCGATATCAGCCTAGAAAAAATTCAGAGGAAATTAGGTGGCCGGCATCACAAAACTCCAGCTTTACGTGACAAATTAATTTTTTTGCAATCGGTGCCTGTGACCTGAGAAGGCGTGAGAGAGAAGGGAAGGAATGTGAGGAAACCGTACCGGCGATCCATTACAGGGGTGGGAGAAGACATACGAGAAACGAGGCTTAGTGTGTGCGCTGCCTATAGTTGACCGTTCCTTAGAACTTTATAGAGAATAAGGACGTAAGGGAAATGTAAACATGATTATTGGTTGGTCTTTTCAGTAGGCATTCCTTGTCGTCTTTTATTACACGTGAGTACCTCGAGTTGAAGCGTTCGTATTTATTCGTTTAACATGACCAAGCTAATGGAGCCGCTGTATTTCAATTCTCTGCACTACGATGATACCGTTATAAAGCTAATACTGGTGATTGACTTATAGAGTATGGGTTTTCTCCGTCAAAATAGGACTTCCTTTCCCAATTTCCTACACAGTCCAAAGTAGCTCTTGTCCTAAAGAGTGATTCTGTGGCGATGCAAATCGAAAAATTTAATTCCAGTGCATATTTAGCATATTCATTATGATGGTCCTTAAAGTATTAAAATCAATTTATTTAGAACGAAGTACACGAAAATTTCAAAGCTATAAAAAAATTACGGGTTTAACAGGGTTTGAAAATATTAGATTTTTTTAAATTGCAAAAATTCGAGAAAAATTTTGGCATTGGTCAGCTTTAGCTCAGTGAGATTATGAGTTTATATGAATAAGTTTCAATGATATGTAAATTTTATCGGAATATAATTTTTAGGATTTAAAAAAATAATTAAATATTTTTTTTTGAAATTTTCGTGGGTGTATTTATTTTGCACATAAAAAAAATGGACCCCATACAAATTTAAGATGTTGATATTTTAAGCACACCCTAATATTCATAATATAAATTATATGACAATAACAATTTCATCAAATACAAACATCTTTTTCGATGTTTGTTCAAAAATTTGAAGTCTATTTTATAAAAACCCTCTTATTAATCAATTTAAATGCTAAGCTGTGCGCCCGGAGTATGTCAGGATACTACTTCCATTCCAAAACATTGTTGCAACCGGCTAAAGCAAAAGCAAATTAACAAACAAATAAATAAAACAACTTGTTTGTAGATAACTGTGTTGTGCTTCTTTGCGTATGTAAGTATATACATATGTACATATGTATACAGCCATGCGAGTATTTTGTTACATTTTGGTCAAGTTAAGTACAATAGACAGGACTTTGCTACTTTGAAAGTTTTCGATGCGTTTATTAATTAAATGGCAAGTGGTGTAAAAGGCAAAAGTGCAGCAGAGAGGAAAGGAGCCCGAAAGGAATAAACAAGCTGCAAAGTAACAATACAATAATACCAGCAGAGGTTGAAGTAAAAGAAAAGTTTTTAATTAACAAAAATAGCAAAACAAAAAAAAAAAATAATAAAAAATTTTAAAAAGTTAAAAACATTTTACCAAAGTTAAACTGCAATGTAGAAATATTAAAAATAGGTAATGAAAGTACCATATCGAGATAAGCAGCCGCAATAAAGGGGAAAAGTTACAAAGACCTAGATGAGCAAGGTGAAAGGCTTCGAAGGAAGATAGAGCGGAGTAGACAATAGCTAAATGAAATAACAATGGCGTGTATTAGGGTCACTGATTCGGTTTTTCCAAACCGGTTTGAACCGGTTTTTTAATAATTAAGTAGATTTTTTTGAAATCTTGATTTTTTCGAATACCGAGTAAACCGGATTTTTATAATCGCATAAACCGGGTTTGTCACATAGTTTATTTACATACCAGAATCTAAAAATTCTAACTATTTTATTGATAGAAAATGGAACATAGAAGATTTTTAATAATTTTATATCTAAGTAAATACTAGAAAAATTTGCACTGCAGAAAATTATTAAAGAATTAGGGAAAATCGATTAGAAGACTACTAAATTTTGTCTAAATTAGTGAGTCGACTGCATGTTGTCTTCATTCTCCGACGGGTTTGCGCCGCACGGAGAGGGATTTGCTAATGGGAGTGTCAAAGGACTTGTGTCAAAATATCGCCAGCCTCACGAAGTAACTCGAGCTCTTCGTATGCGATAGCTGGCATGGGATCACCGATGATGGAATTTAAAGGATGGGAGTTGAGTTTCTTAATTTGAAATATAATAAATCAAAAACCTTTTTTTTCGAGGAAAGGCGAATAATCGAACACCCTAGGAGTTATGCTCATATATAATATGTACATTAGGGTGCCTCACCAAAAAAAATTGCGGCACTGTTTTTCTATCGGAATTATAAAATCTATGGTATTTAAGGATTTCCGCCAAAATTATTCGGAAAAATATTAAGATTTACGTGAGCTGGGTCGATTTGAAAATATCTTTTAAGCTTAAGAACTTCTGTGTGTGGTGATTTTTTTGGAAGAAAGATTTTTAAAAATTATTTATTTTTTTATAAAAAACTAGATGTTTCGCAATTGTCTTTAAATCTTAATATTTTCCGGCATTTTTTGGCGAATATCTTAAAGTATAACAAATTTTACAAGTCTCATGGAAAAACAGTTCCGATATTTGTTTTTTTTTGTGGTATGGAGAGTGATGCACCCTAATGTTCAAAAGCACGTACATATGTTATGTTAAGAAATTAGTGTACTACAATAATGCTTTCCCATATGTATATGGTTGTACAGAGGGAGCAACTGATTTTGTAAACAAAGGGAGTACTAATTGAAAATGGAGTAAAGGACGTTGCAAAGGTGCTTTAAAGGAAACCATTTAAAAAAAACAAAAACAAAGTGCATTAAAGAATTGTGAAATTCTATGAAATATACATACACACGTGCGTTTAGATCCAGAAAGATCGTTTTATTTTAAGTACTTAAATGAAGTATACAAAAAATTAAATAACTTAAAGTGGATACTGTTGATAAGTTTTCGCTGCTGTTGTTGTTCTGATTAGTTATTACTATTGTCATTAATGTTTTATTTTCTCAATGCAAATGTGGCATCATTAAGTAAATGTTTCTATGCGCCAAATGCTGAGAAAAGAACACACACTTGGCAGAATAAATGCAACATTAATACTAGAAAAGAAAACGCCATAAAATTAATTTATTGCTTATACTATTATATAATTGAGGCAGCTGTGAAGTTACTCCGTTCATCCTGAGCAGGTTTTTTTTCACACAATGCATTGTTAGCATTTTAGGTACTTAGTTTTTTTGTAATGATCGGCATTTGTGTTGTATTTCGCTAAACAAATTATGTATTTGAAATTTTGGTTTAAACTTCATTGCTTTGCTTTGCTGGTGTGTAGGTGTTCGTTTCCTGTACTGACTTGGCTAGTATAAAACGATTCAATGCCAAATAGAGTGCTCCGCCAAGTACAAGCTCACCAATGCCTATAAGTACGGCCAGTAGCCAACCAGGAATAGCGAGGCCAGCTGCAAAGTAAGAAAAAGAAGTAATTTATTAAATAAATCCATATGTAATTTGAAGACTTGGTTTGCAAACAAGATTTCAAAACTGATTTGGTATACCAAGAACAGGATGTAGGAAACAGGATTTAATTAGTTTGCATTTAATTTTTTATTTTTTTGAGGTAAAAATCAAAATTAATGATTGCAAGAAATTTTTTTTGCTTTTTATTTTTTAGGTATTAAAAAAAGCAAACTTGAGATTTTAATGTTGTTTTTTTAACCTGAAAGTCCACGAAAGATCTGAAACAAACTCTGAAAAGTCTCGAAAAATCCTGAAAAACACAAATTATACTGAAAGTCCAAACAAAAAATCTGACTATGGTGCAGGTTCTTCAGACTAACGTGCAACAGTGCAAAAGCAGCCTCGGTTACTCTTCCTATTTGCCTAAGCCAAAAATCTGAGTACAACATTTTAGTCGAGGAGCCCTGCATCGTCAGAAACAAGGTTTGCGGACTAGACTCTGATGCCTGCCAGACGGTACCAACATCAGGCAGCTAGGATCCGAATTTGCACTCTTATTAAAAAGACATATGCTCTTATTTTGCGAACACTGTCTAGCTTATAACGACCTACATGAAACACTTCTGCAGAGTTTTTCCGCGCAACCGACTTAAAGGCTATAAAAGAGACAAATAAAAAGAACCTCTTGGTTTTAGGAGGTATGCTAGGGCCAGACTTTAACTCCCATCGCGAACTAAGGGGCTTAAACGACACCAACTCGCGAGGCAGGTGTTTGCTTGATTTTATTTAAGCTTACGATCATACTATCATACTAAAAGCAATCGCGGCAACATTTCTACCAGTGTTACCTCTATCATGTGCTGGACAGTTATTCTGAACAGGTAATGGATTGACACCCTCCCGCAGAAGGACAAAAAAACCTCACTGCTGGGATCCGGAGATTTGAGCACTGAAGGAAAAAGAGCTTAGATAACGGCTTTTAGCAAGCTTACAAGGATGTCCTGAAAATATTTAAGATGGCCATAGAGCAAGCTCAACGCGGATCTTGGCGTAACTTCTGCAAAAACGGTGATTGGACATCATCGCATAGCAAAGTTCTGAGGCCATTCGTCCCTTAGGTCGCTTCATTAGACACCTCGTAAGCCATCATAGACTGGAGTTGGCTATGATGTCCTTCGAAAGCTATAAGGACGTACTATGCCAGATAAATATCTGAAAGTTTACATAGAGCGAGTTCCTAGAAACTACCGAGAGCCTTGAAAACCGCACCAGGAGGGCTATAATCGGCTTGTACGTCTGAAATACGACTATATGTAAAAAAGGGAAATGCGACAGTATATCATGTATGACCTATCCGATTCTACGAATCACCGTTTGGTGGCCAAGACTATGCCCAGAGCCAAAATGGAACGAGTACAGCTTGTCCCAAAAGCCCTTCCTTTGAGCCCTACCAAAGCTCAGAAATTAATTTTAAACTTACCAGCGGTAGACAAAAATATGCGCAGTGAATTCTGGCCAGGAAGATGGCATACATACTACCGCTAGTCACTTGTCAAACTAGTACATGGCATATCTGGGAAAATGTCGATAAAAAGCGATTATGGACCCACATGCTAAGAGTTAACATGTCTTACCAACGATTTTTGCCGCAGCTACAGAGAAGAGGAAGACGTAGAGCGTATTGAATACTATTTCTGTCAGTGTACTTAGAGTTTTTAGCTGGCTAAAATTCAACGACAATGTTTGATCTCGCGCTGAAACGGACCGTTTTTTAACCGACTTCAAAAAAGGAGGAGGTTATCAATTCGTCGGAATATTTTTGAATTTTATATTTTTTTATGTATGTTACCGCTTAACTTTGGACCACGTCAACCGATTTCGAAAATTCTTTTTGCATCGGAAAGGTAGTATCTCAGAGGTGGTCCCATACTAATCCGGATCCATTTAGATCCGATCACTGGATAATGAAAAAATTAACGGTACTCCAAAATTTGTATATGAGAATTGAAGTCGGTTTTGTTTTTTGCTTAAAAATTACTTGTTTTAATAGGTGGTTATTAGTTATTTTAAGCAAAATCATGAATATTGATGTTTTGATTGGCGAAGTTTTTTCTGGCTCTACTCTTTGGGATAACAAAAAATTACCAATTTTATTTCGTTTTACATTTATTGGATGAATTCCAATTTTTTCTTCTTAAAAAACCATTCAATACAGAGCTTGATGTAAAATATTTTTGAATTTTTTTAAATACTTGCATGAGCAGGAATAAAATTACACAGTTACTAATCTTGATTAGCGCCGATTGTAATTAGCTTTACGATCGGCTCGGCTTTCAGATTGGAATGTAAAAGTTACTGGTTACTGGTTACAAAATCTGTTAAAATAATATTCCTCTGAACATTTTTACTTTAAAAATATATAAAAAAAAAATTTTATTTTTTTATTACTTAGATACTTACTAAAATAGCGACGTGTAAGTGTTCTACGTCCGCGCATCACACGTCTAGTCGCTTCCGATTCCTGTGTGCAGAAGGCAAGCAATACTGAAAAAATAAAAAAAATTTTAAAATTAATACAAAAATTAGAAAAAAATGTACATATCGTGCCCTAACCGCCAAAGGAATATAAGCGAAATATTTTCCAAAATTTTCTTTAGGATGTAGATATGCTCCTAGCGCATCTAAATGCATTTTTACATCGAAAAGGAAATTTTGAAAAAAATTTCGTTTATGTTTTTTTCGGTGATAAGAGCTCTTCCTCCGGATCCGGGATTTTTAAAGGGCCTAAAATATCAGAACCATAAATTGCTATTAGTTTTTTACGATTTAATTTTGAAAGAAAACAATGCGCATGCTTTCAAAAACCATGTTTTTCATTATGGAAACAATTGTTTTTCCATATTTACCGTGAGAAACTGCTTCTTCGTTATAGGCTTTTATCATAAATATGTATAAGTACATATAATACATTTAAAATTTTCGATGGAAAAACCCTATCGATATTTTTTTTTGTATGAAGAGTGATCACCCTAATGTACATGTGTATATGTATTTTAATGGCAAATAAAATTTATTTGAGCAAAAGCAAAAGAAAAAATCAAATTAATCTCCCCGCATATGAGTGCCATACTCTACGTCGTAAATTCTATTTTAGTTACCTAATCCGGACAGATATAAATTTTGAAACTTCATTACTGCCTGCAACTAACATTGCATAAATTTTTTCGTATTTGATTTTACATACCACTTTCTAGTTTATAATGCTTTCCCACTTGTTATTTGTTTTATGTGAAATTTACATACGAAAAAAATATAGAATACATATACATATGTACCTACATTTGTACATTGATAAATCCTATATTCTGGTATTCTGGTACATTCCCAACCGTGCATTAATGTCGATGAATGCACAACGGAAAAAATCTGCATAAAAATCCATTACTGACGCAATACGGACGCATAACATAAAACGAAAAAAAAAATGTAACGCACAAAATATACATACCTTATGCAAAAGATAGAAACTACGCAAAAAACAAAAAATGTACGAAAAATGTAGCGGAACTCAATAAATAAAAACATTTTTGTTTTTTTGCAGCTAACCAAAAAGTGCAATAAAACGCCAAAACAGTTCATCATCATCAGTGTCACTATCAACGTCGGGCCCCTTCCGTGCCTACAACATCCGTTACCGTGTTGTGTAACTCGTATTTATGTATGTATGTAGCACGCGACACCTACAATAAGAACAACAATGCGTATACAAACGAAGCCACAGCCTGCCACAGTGAGTGCCAAAGAATATGTATGTACAGGTGATGTGGCGGTCAATACTCGTACATATTGTATTGTGGCTGGCCAACAAGCGGCCCAGGTGAATATGCGTCGCAACGCCCATAAAAATTGGCCAACTCTTTGTGTTGGCTTCCACCGTCGCCGCCGCCACCACCTTCACCCATCGAAGGGATGCAACTGTGGTAGGTCGGGGAGCACGGTGAGTAAGCGGTTTTTCTGTTTTGAGCTTCGAATATATGTACATATGTATGTATGTTTGTGTAATTGTTTGTATATATGCTTGTATGTAGTAAATTTCATAGTTCTATTTTGCTATTCTATTCGAGCATATGCAACAGGGTATTTCAATTTAATTTATGTGAAAATCAAAGCTTTGTTGTTGTTTTTTTTTTTTTCTTGTCGCTTCAATCACATCACCAACACTTTAAGCCTGCATATTCACATGAATTTGAATGCATTTGCGTGGATATGAATGCACTTGTGTGTGTGTGTGCTTCTGTTTTGCTCCACTGCTAACATGTAGTACTTACTTACATACATACATGGGTCTTTCAACGTAGTTTTGAAATAAATGGCTATTAAATATGGAAATCTTAAAATGGACCCAACGCTAGGGGGAAAACAAATATAGTTCTTGGTTCTTTTTTGGCTGCATACTTTTCAGTTTTCGAATGCATGTGTAGGAGTGCCATAAAATGAGCTAAAAAATGTCTAACGACTCTCTAAATTAAACAGTTCAGGTTAGGTTTGGTCGATTTCCAGGGTACTTGTCTTTAACCCAAGGCGGATATTGCTGAGTTTTTTTTGTTTTAACTATACTAAAACTAATGCGATGGTTACAGAAATGGATACATCGTAAGCAGAAACATTGCGTTTTGGCTCCATAACCCGTTAAAGCTTTACTCAGAAATTTCCCTTGGAGTTATGGATATGTGAAAACTAGGCTCCTAAAAGCACGATGAGCACTGATGATGACGTTGATTTTTTTTGGAAAGAATTTCCGCCATCTCTTGGCAAGTACGTTTTGGTGACATAAAAGTTCTAAATGGAAGTATCATCTAAGTGGCCAACGCCAAGCAAATATGTCTCAAAGTATTTCTACAATGTCGCTGTATGCTGGTACTCGATGTATTAAACAGTATTTAAAGTATTTAAGATTGCGTAAGATTTCAGAAACTCCTTTGACCATTTTTATTCGCGCCATAACAGAGAGCCTCAGGTTGGCGACAGAGTAAATATTACAGCTGAAAATCTTTGCTGTTAAGGAGGTTGTAAGGCATATAAAACACCCGCAAGAACGCCGATGAATATTTTATCATAAAAACTAATTGAAAATAATTATACAAAACAAAATTGCACAAGAATTTTTTTTTTTTTAATTTATAAATAAATATATATTTATTTTAAATATATAGAAAAATTTTTGGTATGCAGTTGTATAGCCAATTTAAGTTTAGAGTAATAAAGTGCAAGTTTCCAGTGACTAAGAATTCACGTTGTCTTTAATATTTTTTTTTGCTTGTAAAATGAAAAATTATTAAAAATCAACATAATTTCTTAACTACTTGAAACTTACACTTTATGGTATAAAAACTTAATTTTATTGTGCTATAAAACTACATACCTAAAATTTTTCTAAAAATTAAAAAAAAAAAAATTATTTGTGATTTTTTTTTCTCTTTTTTCATTAAGTAACATTCGTTAACAGGCACGGGAAAATCGATTTTCTTCAAAATTCCTACTTTCGCTGCACTTTGCACAAAAGAATTCGATATAAACAAATAATATTAAAGATTGGCTCCTTAAACCTCTAACGAATTTAATTGTCTTACAAAAAAAAAACAAAAAATTGAAAATCCGTCAAGAATTAGAGGCTATAGACCTTTTTTTTTTGAATAGTAAATTTCGTGTTTCCACCTCTGTGCTACGAGACGCTTAACTAGTAACCGATTTAAAAGAAAAAAAATGCGGGTCACCTTAATTTCGATATACCTTAGTTCTGAGCTGTGGCTGGTAAAAAAAAAACTTTAGACCAACCTAGCGCGCATAAATATTGTGTTCATTTGTTTTATTTCATTTATTTTATTTAATTTTGTTTAAATCAATTTAATTTATTTTTAAATCCCATTCTTTTTTTAACGTAAATTTTTGTATTAATATCATATTGTCATTAATTTTGTTAAAACACTATTTGTGACACACTTTGATCTACAAATTTATCGATGACCTCATAATTCTACATGCATTCCAGCCACTAAACTCTCCATAGATATGTATGCCAAATACACCTCACTTGACTCCGCGAATATTTTTATGAAAGAGGTAACCAGCTATTACGTTTTTCTTGCATTAAGTGACTAACAATAAAATTCGTTTACTAGAAATACTTGAAACATCGTATGAGTCACTATCTTTTCTAAATAAACACAAGCCAATTTGATAAGAAAAACATTTTTGTAGAGTTGAACGAAACAAGTGAACGCAATTGTTAAAAAAAGCGGTAGTTTTTGTATATATGTGTATACATACATATACTATGTACCTATTTAGGTCACTCACAAACACAAACATATTTACTTATACTAGTAGAAGCTAAGTTTTACACGGACCCTAATTCTAGGCATATACTTTTTTCAGTGAAAAAAAAATGCGTTACCCAAAAATATCACCAAATATGTTGCACTTTTCTTCACCAGCTGCATTTTATTAATATTTTTCTTAAATATGTTTAACTGGAAAAATTATCTTCGTTGCAATTAAAGCACGAGTCGTTCGTAGATTTTAATGAGTTGACTATGATGGTCTTCGATGAACTAAGTTAAAAGCGCCAAACTGAGCCAATGCTTCTCAAGCAAAAGTCAGATAAGCATTCCAGTAAGTGTTGCACATTGGAAGTGATAAGATAAGCACCATAACTAGGCATACATATTTACATAAATATATTCAACATACATATGTGCGCATAGATACTTATGTATGTATGTATAGGCATGTATATATAAATGTGTACAAACGATTTTTGCTATTACTTAACAATTAATGAACACGATTTTTTTTTGTAATTTTTCGTCATGTTTTTATTTAATTCTTAAATGCGTATTTTAATTTTTTCGTTTTTTTTTTTGTTTTCTTATTCTTTCCTTCATATCTAATGTGAATACCTTTGCCTATGAATATTATGTACATGAATAATAGCTTTTTCGAATTTCCTATATTAAAATGCGATTGATTTCCCTAATGACGACGATACTTCAACCGGCGCACAGCTTTGTATCGATAACCATCATTAGCGAGCACAGCTGTTTCTTCCTCCGGTTGTTGCTCCGCCACCACTTGTACTTCCTCTGTTGGTGGTAAATACTCATTAGTCAGCGCCAGTTCACTGACATCACGCCGATGACGATATTTTAAGCGACGTACTACTTTGTAACGGTAACCGTCATTAGCCAAAACGGTAGCATCTTCTGGCGCAGGTTCAGAGACCTCAGCAACAGCTGTTTCCTGAACTTCCCCTGCAGGTGGAAGATATTCGTTCTGTGGCAGCTCATCAACATCACGGCGCTTGCGGTA